ATTGTATCAGAAAGGTGCTTTAATTTTTTCAAATAAATATAAATGGTAATTTTAACATTTGCAATAGTAACTTGATTTCATCTGATTTTGGGGGGGTCACATGCCCCATATTTTACAATTTAGAAATCCAGTTTGAAAATGTCAGCTTTCATGAGTGGGTTGATGTGTCATTTAAAGCACACAGAAGGTGTGCATGAGATAAGAAATAGGGGGACTGAAGAGGCATTTAGAGGTGATTTGCATGAGAGGCATCGTTAGAAGTTGTCTAAACTGACGGCAGAGAGGCCTGCTTTTCCATCATATGGAAATAACAGCCTATAACAAGAGCCAATGTCATCAAAACAGAATTGCATTCTGAAATCCAATGAAAAGCAACCATTTAATTTGGTTCATTGGCAGCTAGTCCAGTGGTGGATGGGTGGGAATCAGTTCCATTTTCCATTCAATCCAAGTTTTCCATGCAATATTTTCTCACCTCCAGAAGGTGCCTGCAACAACAGTAGCTGGGGATAGACACATCTTGTCAGTTTTGGTTTCTCACGTTGCCAGTATTGATTCCAGCTCACCATATTTTCTGCAGAAGTTTGAGTTGCTTATTTTGAAACTGCACACAATTATATCAGTAAGTGCACTTTTCACACACACTTTTTTCTTTTTTCTTTTTTTGCAAGCAGGTTTACCTAATACGACCCATTAGTGTATGTTGTCTTCAACAATTAATGGAACTCAAGGCACACTTCCCCCTAATATACTCACCTTTGTACACATTGGGAGTGGGGTGGGGGCTGGCAGTCATAGAACTGTGCCACAAAGTTCAGAAACTTAAAATTTTGAAGGACAGCTGTGTTTCAGTTTGTGTATTTTGGGGTGTGCATTTGTTTTTGGGGAAGTCTGCTGAGGTAAGTTCACACTGCTGAAGCAGGTGCATTCTGTGGCCTGTGGAAGCAGCCTGTAGAAGAAAGTGCAATGGTTTCTTACCCCACAGGTGTGAACATATGTAAGCTGTACATGCTTTGTTGTTGTTGTTGTTTAGTCGTTTAGTCGTGTCTGACTCTTCGTGACCCCATGGACCAGAGCACGCCAGGCACTCCTGTCTTCCACTGCCTCCCACAGTTTGGTCAGACTCATGTTTGTAGCTTCGAGAACACTGTCCAACCATCTCATCCTCTGTCGTCCCCTTCTCCTTGTGCCCTCCATCTTTCCCAACATCAGGGTCTTTTCCAGGGAGTCTTCTCTTCTCATGAGGTGACCAAAGTATTGGAGCCTCAGCTTCAGGACCTGTCCTTCCAGTGAGCACTCAGGGCTGATTTCCTTCAGAATGGAGAGGTTTGATCTTCTTGCAGTCCATGGAACTCTCAAGAGTCTCCTCCAGCACCATAATTCAAAAGCATCAATTCTTCGGCGATCAGCCTTCTTTATGGTCCAGCTCTCACTTCTATACATCACTAACATGCTTTTTAGTTTGTTCAAAAATAACCACTCACCCATCTGAGGTGGGTGCCATTTGCGGCCCGGCGCACAGCAGCCCCGATCTTCTGGGAGACACGCTGGTTGGCTTTAGCTGGCCCACCTCCCAGCATCGCAAGCGTTGTGGGTTCCCACCAAACTCCACTTTGAATAAGTCTATCCACGGTGGCGCTGAGGGCAGGGTCACAAGACCGAACCAAGAGTGAGCAGGCTTCACTCAGGTCCGTGCCGATGGATTAAAAGGGGGTGGAGATGGCGCTTGGCGTGCAGTCTGCTCCAGAGCTTTGCCCACTCTCCCCTCCCTCTGATCTCATGTTTTCTTGCAGGTTAACCAATTTTCTTCCAGATCATTGGCATTGCTGCGGTCTTTATGATGGTTGCTGTTGAAGAGCTGGGAAAGAATTTTCCCTGCTCCACAGGTTTCGCCTTCCCAGTAGCAATTGTCACAACTTTGGTGGGGGAATCCTTTAGTCTATTATTCCAATAGGGGGGCGTGAAGCGGTGGCTCACACACTCTTGCGGTGGCGTTTTCAGGGTTCAATGAAGGGAGTCACTGGCCTTACGCTGAAAGGTTGTCAGTGAACTTCCCAAATCTGGCTGTGTAAACATGCGTTTTGCAGTTCACCTTCTGATCTGAATAATCCTGCTGAGACTCAATGCCCCGGCTGTGAGACTGAGAGGGATACACGCCCGATGCCTAAGCCAAGGTTTCCTACATCTGAAATTTAATAAAGTTGTGGCCATGTGTGTTTTATTGCTCTCGATCTGTCGCCTGGAGGGGAGGAGGTCTCTGCCTGGAAATGCAATTAGGTTCAGTAAGGGGTCAGCAGCCAGATGGCCATGTTTGAGGATGACACTCAGGGCCAGATTTAGGTTTGATGAGGCCCTAAGCTACTGAAGGTAATGGGGCCCTTTATATGTCCAGCTGTCCTTTGTCAACAATAATTTGTCGCTGTTTTTGTGTTGAATATATGCTATATGGTAATTTATGGACCTAATAGGTATCTAAGGCCATTTGCACATGCAGAACATAGACACCCTATATATAGAAATGAGCAATCCGGTGATATTTTAGGGAGCAGGCAAGCAGGCTGGGCCCATTACTTACATCATAGGAGCCCACACAACAACAATAATAATAATAATAATAATAATAATAATAATAATTTATTATTTGTACCCCGCCCATCTGGCTGGGTTTCCCCAGCCACTCTGGGCGGCTTCCATAGAAACAAAAAAATACAGTAAAATATCACAGATTAAAAGCTTCCCTAAACAGGGCTGCCTTAAGATGCCTTCTAAATGTCAGGTAGTTATTTATCGCTTTGACATCTGATGGGAGGGCGTTCCACAGGGCGGGCGCCACTACCGAGAAGGCCCTCTGCCTGGTTCCCTGTAGCTTTGCTTCTCGCAATGAGGGAACCGCCAGAAGGCCCTCGGCGCTGGACCTCAGCGTCCGGGCAGAACGATGGGGGTGGAGACGCTCCTTCAGGTATACTGGGCCGAGGCCGTTTAGGGCTTTAAAGGTCAACACCAACACTTTGAATTGTGCTCGGAAACGTACTGGGAGCCAATGTAGGTCTTTCAAGACCGGTGTTATGTGGTCTCGGCGGCCGCCCCCAGTCACCAGTCTAGCTGCTGCATTCTGGATTAATTGTAGTTTCCGGGTCACCTTCAAAGGTAGCCCCACGTAGAGCGCATTGCAGTAGTCCAAGCGGGAGATAACTAGAGCATGCACCACTCTGGCGAGACAGTCCGCAGGCAGGTAGGGTCTCAGCCTGCGTACCAGGTGGAGTTGGTAGACAGCTGCCCTGGATACAGAATTGACCTGCGCCTCCATGGACAGCTGTGAGTCCAAAATGACTCCCAGGCTGCGCACCTGGTCCTTCAGGGGCACAGTTACCCTATTCAGGACCAGGGAGTCCTCCACACCAGCCCGCCCCTGTCCCCCAAAAACAATACTTCTGTCTTGTCAGGATTCAACTTCAATCCATTAGCCGCCATCCATCCTCCAACCGCCTCCAGGCACTCACACAGGACCTTCACCGCCTTCACTGGTTCTGATTTGAAGAGAGGTAGAGCTGGGTATCATCTGCATATTGATGGACACCCAGTCCAAATCCCCTGATGATCTCTCCCAGCGGCTTCATATAGATGTTAAAAAGCATGGGGGAGAGGACGGAACCCTGAGGCACCCCACAAGTGAGGGCCCAGGGGTCCGAACACTCATCCCCCACCACCACTTTCTGAACACGGCCCAGGAGGAAGGAGCGAAACCACTGTATAACAGTGCCCCCAGCTCCCAGCCCCTCTAGACGGTCCAGAAGGATGTTATGGTCGATTGTATCAAAGGCCGCTGAGAGATCCAGCAGAACCAGGAAACAACTCTCACCTTTGTCCCTAGCTCGCCGGAGATCATCAACCAGTGCGACCAAGGCAGTTTCAGTCCCATGGTGAGGCCTGAATCCCGATTGGAAGGGATCCAAATGGTCCGCATCCTCCAGGCGTGCCTGGAGTTGTTCAGCAACCACGCGCTCAATCACCTTGCCCAAGAATGGAAGATTTGAGACTGGGCGATAGTTGGCCATACTGGCCGGGTCTAAAGATGGTTTTTAAGAAGCGGCTTAATGACCGCCTCTTTCAGCGGATCTGGGAATGTTCCTCACAGAGGGAAGCATTCACCACCCCGCAGAGCCCATCGCCCAGCCCTTCCCGGCTTGCTTTTATTAGCCAGGATGGGCAAGGATCAAGGAGACAGGTGGTTGCTTTCACGCGTCCAAGCAGCCTGTCCACATCCTCGGGGGTAACGGATTGCAATTGATTCCATGCAACTTGACCAGACAGGGCTCTAGCACTCTCCCGCCCCAGCCCTGCTCCCACGGTGGTGTCTAGCTCCTTCCGAATATGAGTGATTTTATCTGCAAAAAACTTTGCAAAATCGTAAAACACAACACAAAACACTGTTGCTGTATGTAGGTTTTATTTTATTTGTTTTTTTTTTATCTTATATTTTGGAAATTTACATCCAGTTGTTTTTTCTTTTACATTTTTGGGGGGCCCCCAAGAGAGTGGGGCCCTAAGCTATAGCTTGTTTAGCTTATACATAAATTTGACACTGATGACACCCAATTATTCAGAGTGGTTAAAAAATAAAGAGGGATTGAAAAAAGTTCGAAAATAATTCATTCAAACTGAGTTTGAGTTGTAGGATTTGTAGCAGCTTTTTGTCACAGGAGGGTTGAGAATGGGAAAGAAGTGCAGGAGAAAAGGTTTAAACATTTTCTGCCCCATTGTCCCTGCTCTGATCAAAATCTGTGGCCACTTCAAAGTGAAAATTTCCTCCTTTGGTGATTTTCAGGCAGCAATATCAAGGGAACCGATGATATCGGGTGATATACTGTCAGCAGGATCATGAACCAATATATTTAATAGGTTGCTGGCAGAACTCATTTTGACACTTCGGTCACATCACCCCTCCACCATGCATGGCGCTTAAGAAGAGCCAGAGACATTCTGAAGAACTCAGCCATGCTGATTGGAGCTGGTGGGGCATCTGCTTTGCATGCAGAAGGTTCCAGGTTCAATTCCTGGCATCTCTAGAGAGAGACTCTTATCCAAAACCCTGGAGAGCCACTGCCAGTCAGTGTACACAATATTAGCTTAGGTGGACCTATGATTTAACTCAGCCCAAGCTTGCTTTCTATACCCTCTCTTCCCTTCCCTTTCTTTAACAGATCTAGTTTTCAGGGGAAATCTCAAAGAAGACAAAAGCCCGTGTCCCCCGAAGGCTTAGGAAAAGAAGCAAACAGTAACACACTCAAAGCATGTTATTTAAATTAAATGTCTGGGTGCCAGAGACTCTGACAGTATTAGCATGCGCCTCACAACAAGCCGGGTGACTGCAGATGGAGAAACAGAAGAGCAAAAGGTGTGAGAGGGCATGAAGGCAGACCGCATCAGGAAGGATGAAAGGTGTTGACATTTCGCATGCCAGTGTGGCAAATTTTATAGACATCTTTGGCAGCTTGGACAAGCATCGCATGCTGCCCATTCCTTGGAGAGCCAGGCAGAGAGGGACACACAGTTTTGGTCCCTTCTATTCCCCCCCCCCCGCCTTTTCAACGTTATACACAACATTGCTGGTTTTGTTATTCCTAGCCTCCAGCACTCAAATTGTGTCACGCTGCTTTTGCTTTCAAACTTAGTCTCATTTTATTCTGTCCAGAACTCCTGAGCATTACAGTGACATCACCCGGAGAATAATGAAAGCCACTTTGAGTGAGTTTATAGGATCGTGCCGATTTGTTTAAATTCTCTGTCTTACGTGTGGGCATGATTGTTTGTCTCTGAAGCTGTGGGGGGTGGGAATGCCTCCTACCACCCTTCAAAGCAATCTGTTTCCTAATGAAAGTCCTCCCACATAATTGTCCTCTTCTGTTTTGCTTCCTGCATAATCATTCGATTGTGTAAAAGAGTCTCATCTATAAACCCGTTGAAGTTTCCCACCTGAAACTCCGTTCCTGTCACAAGAGATTAAATGAAAGACTAGCCCTTTCCATAGGAAGCCTCTGTGTTTCTTTCTAGCAGCTAATTGCGGTGGCTTGCCACTGGATGCTGTGATAGTTGTGTTAGCTGTGTAAACAGTGCTACAGTGACAACTAGTGACAGACATGAATATTATTATAAATACAGCAGATTTAGTTTCCCAAAGGCAATAGGTGAATTAGAGGGTCTTCTTTCGGTCTGTAAACTTATCCATTTACTAGGGGTGGACAGAACAAAAATAGTTTGCTGTGGAATGTGTGTGTGTGTTGAAGGATTGTGTGTTTGAGAGGGAAAGCTAGCTTTATGATAATGGTACATTCTTCACCTGCATTGTAATAGCAGCAAATTAAATTTGGGCCATTAGCAATCAGAAATAGGCAAAGACTGTTCAGATAACATCCTGTGATAGATGGACTGAAGAGGAAACTGCATTCTTTTAAGGGATACTTTAGGGAAACAGTTTCCATCATAGACTCATGTTTTCTTTCTCTCTAGTGTACATTTCTGCATTCAATTATAAAATGCAATTATCACAAGCATCAATTTATGCTAAAATTGCCCTCGTTAATAGTTTTAATATATTTCAATGCATCTTTGGTTTTTGACATTATATCATAAAACTCTTTACATGCACAATTGAAATTGGCTTTAACTTGGTAACTATGTCTTAACGAAATCTGTGCTAATTACTTGCTTTCTGCAGTCTCTAAGGCAGCTTGACTTATTCTGCTAATTTGCTGGCAAGGAGGATTTTTTTTGTGCTGACACTTGTAGGTCAAAGGCAAAGGGTGAGAAGAAATCTAATGATGGTGTTGGGGAGGGGGAGTATAAGCAACTGTGAAGTTTCACCACTAAAAGCACATGCTTCAGCCTGGAGGGAATTGAGAGCTAGAGATGAAGAGTACATGAGAAAGGCCTGAGCCCCATGCAGATGTTTTCCTCCCTATGTTGAGACTCTGCAAGCAAAAGGGAGTAGGACAGCCTGGTGGCCCTGTCCACAACTGTGCACACTTCACCTGCCCTGAAGATGTGCACAATTGGCAGAACACCTGTGAAGGGGTGGATAGACATACAGCTATGTGAGCATAGGATCTCAAATGAGTGGACATTGTAAACGGACACAGTTCCTATTCTCATGAAAGTCTACCAGGGATGGAGCTGAATGCTAGATCCCATCAGCTGCATCCAGCATGGCCAATGGTCAGGGATGGTGGGAGTTAGACAATAGCTGCAGGGGTGCAGGCTTCCCATCAGTCAATCAAAAGGTATCCCTGCCACTGCACTAAAGCATAACACATCCCAACCCACACTGGGAAGCTGAGTATTTACTAGGTTTCTTTCTTTAAGATGAAGTTTTTTTAAAAGAAGTTTTATGCCATTCTGAAAGGATCCTGGTCCTGAAAATGGTCTTGCATTTTATTTTATTTTATTTTATTTTATTAAAAAAATCAAAATCCACCCCCAATCCAATCATTAAAACAAAACACACAAAAATCAGAGTTGTTTAAAAATCTGAAAACAAACAGAATCAAGTTTGGGTTTGGGATGGCAACTGTGTCTTGCAGCCCAGAGGCTGGCAAAAGTGCTCACTGTTCAAATTGTTGGAGCTGATCTGCCATTTCCAAAAGGAAGGAATGCCTGTAGGCAGCAGAAGAAACAAAATGGATCATTGGCATTCCAATGCTGATACATTTTCAGGAGAACTTGTGTGTGTGTGTTTAAATCAAACTATTGTGCAAAGGTCGAGATTAAAACTTAAGATTGAAAAAATGAGTAACTGTGGAAAGCTGAAATTGGCAGATTTGGCAATCCTTACTAAATTCATCACCAAAAAAGAGGACATGGATTTATGTAAGCTTATTTATATGTATAGATGCAAATTTGGAAATCATTTATATACTATAATGAGAAATAAAACATATTTCCCCATACTGGGGAAGAGGTGACCCAGTGACCCATATGCCTGTTGATTTTTATTGCCAAGATGCTACTTGTTTGGCATAGTCACAAAAATGAATATGACCTAGAAGTCATCTAGTCTAACCCTCTGCCAAGGCAGGGATCCTGGTCCCTCTCCTTATGGTTCTTCTATCTTTGAATACAAGTTTCAACCCTAGAGTAATATTTTTATTTCTGCTGTTTGGATTGAGAGTTGTCCCAAAATGCCTTTCATTTCCAAATCCTCCACCTAACCTTCAATTAAAGACCTGGACTTAGAAGGTGGGGCTGCACTTTTGAAATGTCTTTTGGATTGGAAAAACTCATTAAAATCACCAGCTAAAATAAGAGGGAAGAGATCAATACCTGAGATAATGACACAACTGTTTTTAAAAAGATAAATGTGGTTCATCACGATTAGGTGCACAGATATTTGCAAGAATAAGCTCCCTCCCCTCATATTTAGCAAGTAATATAAAATATCTCCCTCCCAGATCAATGAGGGAGGATAAAAGGACAACAGGAAGGGCTTTGTGTATTAAAATTGCAATCGCCCCCTCCCCTCTGTCTTCTTGAATTTCCTGTACAATTGGCTTCTCCTAGCAAATGTTTTTGTATCCTGTCATTTGTGTCAGAACAAATGAGAGCTGATCGTAAGTCAGCTGTTTGAGCCTTGTTTCTCTTTAAATAACTCAGGATCTGCTTTCATGTGTGAGGTCCACTTAAACCTTTTATTAAAAAAAAAGTATTTGCATTTCTGGCCCTGAGAGTTACAGATATCTACAGCAAACTCACTTCACTTGGAATACTGTGTACAGTTCTAGTTGCTTCACCACAGAATGGAGATGTTGAGCTGGGAAAAGGTTCCAAAAATGGCAACCAGCAAAGGGATGGAGCGACACCTCTGTGGGGGGAAGCTGCAACATTTGGGGCTTTTTACTTGAAAGAAAAGTAAAAAACATACACCGTCATGTGATAGACAATAATCCCATGACTGCAGACACGGAGCAGGAATCTTAACATCCTCCCCCGTTTCATGATCTGTGTTGCAGTCATCAGTGTAACTGCAACAAACATACAGATGTCATACACACAGTATACCCCTGTATCACCCGTTCCACCCTTGGAACTACTTGCAACTGGACTGGCCTTAGGCCGTACCATCTTGCACTTCTGACTAGTCTTGGTGTCATAACCCTTCTGACTATCAGGAAGTCTCACACCTGGCTTTGTTGGGACTCGAACCCTAGCTTTGTTCCTCTCTGAGGAATCAGTGTTGGAACACACAGCCTTTGTACTGCTTCCTTCTCCAAGGAAACATTGTCCACCCTTACAGCCTTTGGGTGTGGTTTCCCATCCCTTGAGGACAAACCTTGTACCCCTTTCAAGACTCTGGGTTCTAAGACCTGTGTTGAGCCACTAACCACAGCTAAATCTGCAACAGCTGTGTTAGCAAACTCCTGAGCAAACCTGGTGGGCTTCTCACCCTTCGTGGCTCTTTCTGCTCTGTGCATCAGCCGCATCTCCTCCACCATATCAGTGGAACTCACCTCAGTGCAGCTGCTGGATGGTTAAGTCCAGTCAAAGGCAACTATGGGGTTGCGGTGCTCATCTCACTTTCAGGCCAAGGGAGCTGGTGTTTGTCCACAGACAGCTTTCCGGCTCATGTGGCCAGCATGACCAAACTGCTTCTGGCGCAACGGGACACCGTGACAGAAACCAGAGCACAGAGAAACACTGTTTACCTTCCCACCACAGCAGTGCTTTCTGCTAGGTTGGCAGGAGCTGGGACAGAGCAACGGGAGCTCACCCCGTTGCGGGGATTCGAACCACCGACCTTCCGATCGGCAAGCCCTGCAAACATGTGTATATTAAATTCACCCCAAAATGCTAATTAATTTCCATGGGCACTTAAATAAAATCACAAAGTGATGTGCAATCTGGTTCAGCTCATAAAGCTCATTTGCACATGGAATGTCATTTTTAAACATTTTTTAAATCCTCTTCTTCAGCATCTGGTCTACCCAGGGATACTGGGGACGGCCTTAACCTTCCATGTGTTCAGTCAATACCTGAACAAGGCTTTAAGTGTCATGAGCGACAGGGTGAGTGAACC